CATCATTCATTTTGGACAAGTATAGAGGTACTAAATCATTTCCTAAAAGTACCTAATCTGCAGAAATATAAATTTCAGAATTCACAGGGCCGACTTCAAAAATTCATAGAAAATCCTCAAAAAGTCTAAAACAAAATATCTTGATTTAAGCTTAGATTGAAAACCCAAAACATAGATAAAATTTTCGGAACTCAGCTTGTCGTAATTTCACAGGGTAATTTTGTTTATATCAATAGTCACAATTTTAAGCAAATTTTGGTCTTTAGAATCAGCGTATATATACATATTCTGACCATATAACCTTACTGCACTAAATCTTCAAATTCAGATTAAACCTTATGCATTTAGTACCCAAACTTTAAACACAACAAACCAAGAGAGTTCATAACCAATTAAATCATCAATCACCAACAATAAGCAGTCTAGGCTCTACTTACCACCAAATTGCAAGACCTTCCTTTGTTCCTCCTCCACTTTACCCACCAAAATCGCCAAAGTCTTCATCTCCTACTCTCGGCTTACTCTCTTCTCAACTCTCTCTCTTCAATTTATTTTTTTGTTCTTTCACTTTTGCAAAAATCGGCCGAGGTGTGCGTGTGAAAACTCTCTCTCTCTCTCCTTCTTTTCCTTCTTCTCTCTTCTCTTCTCCTTTCCTTCTCTCTTTTCTTCTCCTTTCCTTCTTCTCGATTCTTCTCCATTTGGGAGAACAATAAATATTTTCTGAAAGCCTGAGAATGCCCAAAATAACCCCAAGACGTCAGCCTTATCTTGCAAAAATGTCCCAATCTCTCCCATTAATTATTGTAAACGCAGCAGCTCGGATTCTTTGCGTTTTCACCCCCAACAAAATTTTAAGAACTTGCAATATACCTCCTGAAAAGTGAAAACACCAAATTAATTAACACAAAATCTCATAAAGTAAATAAACGAAATGGTGGGCATTACAATCTCCCCCTTAAAGAAATTTCGTCCTCGAAATTTACCATGTGAAGAGATAAGCGATAATATGTCCTCTTATAAGTCTCACATTTCCATATTACTCCAAAACAAAGGATAATTCCAGCACTAAGCACTTATAATATAGAAACCTTTCTATTTAGTTCTTCTTCATCAACACTTGGTATTAGCATATATTCTCCACAATAATAACAAAGTGGGTTTACGTCCCAACACTGTCCTGAATGACGTTTGCCACATTTGTCACACAATTGCCGTTAATTTCACTAGAAGTTCTATTATTCGACTAGTGGCCGCTAGAAGTTTTAAAGAAAGCTTTATGGATTGAAAGACTCTTTAGTAACTAGTGGCTGATGTATAGAACTTTTCCTTACTGTTCTTGGTGATCCTCTTATTCTCATAGTTAAAAAGAATATAGGAGAGCTTGTTATAATGAGCAATTGTCAACTTGACATAAAGTGTTTGTATTTATCTTGAAGTTGGACATTGGAAGCTGTGATCTTGAATATTCATGCTCATTGATAATCTCGGAGACTGCGTTAAAATTCAGGTATGACTACTTATGATCTCTCAACTTGATTATTTACAATCTGTAGATAAGTTCAACCACATTCCTTTCACTTTCAAATTATTTCAATTCACTTCCAAGAAAAATAAAGATTAGAAGTTGGGAAAATATGAGGGACTTTTGAATATTGTGGAAGTCATTTATTAACTGTCTGTGTGATTAACTAGGTAAAGATAGTTGAAGTTACTGTTATTTTGTGAAGCTTATGTATTTTTTTTTTTTTTTTTTTCTAATGATAAGGATTTTGTCTCACATTCTTGAGCAAAAATTGAAGATGCGATTTTATATTTTGTTATGTGTTTAAGCTTTATGTTTTCTCTATTTGGCTCCTTCTTTTCGTTAGTAATTTGATGTTACTGTACATTTGCAGGAAATTTATTACTCTTTAAACTTTTGAGGCATCTATAAGTGTTAGTTCAAGTGAAGGTCTTGGCACTGAAGGAGAAGATTTCCTCGCTAAAGGTAGGAAATGTTTTTTTTTTTATGAATTAATTATTCTTCAATTAGGATACTTAACTAGATATATCTGTTATGATGAAAAATATTACTTACCATTTTAAAAATATTAAAAAGGAATCTAATGATTCCAATGAAAAATTGAAATTTGATTTGAGCCATAACATGCCGTTTCTTTAGGATTAATATTAGAGTAAAATAAGGCTTCACTAGAATAAAGGAAAACATGTAAATTCTAATACATTTTTCAGTGCAAAGAACTTGAGAAGTAGCATCCCCAATGGCTGTCTATTGATATCTATTTAATAAATCTTGTTAAAAACACAACCATAAGAACATAACATTAATATTTCTTCAAAAGACAAAGTGAAATAACATTGAATCTTGATAATTGAAATAACAATTAGAATTAAAGAAAATAGTAATTATATATAGTTTATTTGAATGTTCAAATACTTGTATCTGTATTGAACTTTGGTAATCATAAATCTTCTTAAAAGTTTAGAAAATTATTTATATCTTCATTATTATGATCAACTTATACATTCATCTTATTATTATACACCTCCCTCTTCCCTTCATTTGTCATATCTTAATCACTGTTCATTAGCAATGTGTCTAAGATTGTGTGCAATTTGGCTTCATATATTGTAAATGAATTTTGTAATGCACTAATTTTATCTTAATTTTTCGTTTAAGGTATTCGCCACTCTGTAGATATTTCTATTGTAATTAAAAAAAATTACTTAAAAATATTAATAAAGCTCTACCTTATATATCTTCAATTCAAAGCTTAAATCTATGGTTTCTTTTTTATCCTTCTTGTGTTATGGATAATTCCAAGTTAAAATTGATGTTTGAATTGAGGAAGAAGTACTGGCTTGTTAGATATTAGAAGTTACATATGGATTTTCTTTTCTTTTCTTTTTTTTTTTTTAAATTTTTTTGGGTTTCGTAAAAAGAAAAAGAGCTAATTGGTGTTTTACTTTTATCATGAAGTTGGATATTGGAAGTTGTGTTCTCAAATCTCTACGCTAATTGGTGATCAAAGACTTTGCTAAACATTAATTCAGGTATATATAACTATTAATTTTAACTACCTATCTTTTCACTTTCAATTATTCAAATCACCTTCCAAGAAAAGAAAATTAGAAGATAAAAAATATTATGTGGAAGTAATTTTAAAGATATAGTTGAAGTTACTATTGAATTTTATGGAGCTTATATATTTGTTTTGATAATAAAAGATCGATCTTGTTTTTCATTCTTGAGCAAAAATTGAAATTTTCGACTTTATTTTTGGTTTTGTGTTTAAGCCTTATGTTTCTCGTTCATTTGCAGGAAATTTATTACTCTCTAAACTTGTGAGGCATCTTTAAGTATTAGATCAAGTGAAGTTCTTAGCATTGAATGAGAAAATTCCCTCTCTAAAAGTACGAAAGCTATTTTCATGAATTAATTATTCTTCAATTAGGATGTTTAATCGGCTATGTTTGTTACGATGAAAAATATTGATAAGCAATTTGATATTATTAAAAAGGAAATCTAATTACCTCCTTAAATATCACAACAGTCATACAACCATTGGAAATGGTCGTCGTTGACTGTCAATGACGGCCACTAAATCTTGGCCATCGTTGACAGACAATGATGGCTATATCTTTTATGCCTGTTTTCAAACATTTGATTTTTGTTTTTGGAATTCAAACACAAATAATTTAGTTAAATTAAATAAAATATCATATAAAGCTACGATATTGCTGAAAATTTATTAGAAAATTTATTTTAATTTTTTTTTTTTTAACTTTTTTATCGTTTATACGCACAAATGTCTTCCATGGTTCTTGATCTACATTTAAACATCTTCCATTTTTATTAATCTACTCTCACCATGTACACAACTCCACTGCAACTACCAGTCATGTTAGTATTAATTTATAAAATCTAACGATCTAGAATGTCATTTTTTATATATTTATTTATCAATTCTTTAGCTTTGAATCTTAATAAATGAAATAACATTTAAAAATAAATAGTAATAATAATGTATAGTTTATTTGAATACTCTAATTCTTGCATTTACACAACTCTACTGCAACTACGAGTCATGTTAGTATTAGTTTATACTTGTTTAATTTTGTCAAAGCTATTCTTAATTTAGTTTCTCTCATTTCTTAAATACTTTTTGCTGCTGAATTCCAGGAAAACGCTAGGTGGTTGTTCTTTTCAAGTACTTTGTTATCCAAAGGCTGCACTGCACAAACCGTGCATATATAGTTGTGCAAGGTACTTCAACTTATTTCTTACATTAATCTTGTTTAATCTTTGTTGGCTTTATATTTGCAATGGTCATTTCATTCATCCTAATCAAACTTTATTATCAAATAGGTTGGAAATGGGATCAGAAATCTTGAACTGTATTTTGTCAAAGATTGGAGATTATTTGCTGGATGCCACCATACGTCAAATTGGTTACATTTATCACTTCAAAACTAACATTGAAGATCTGAAGAAAAAAGGTGAAAGATTGAGATTCTTAAAAGATTCGGTGGAACAAGATGTTGACATTGCCAAAATAAATACTGAAGAGATCAAGAACGATGTGAAAAAATGGCTATCGGATGCGGACAGTGTCATGGCGCATGTTGAGAAGTTGGAAGAAGAAATACAAGTAAATAAGACATGTCTATATGGATGGTGTCCTAATTGGTTTTGGCGATATAAAATTAGTAAGAAAGCAGCAAAAAAGACAAAGATTATGTTGGAGTTAGAGCATAGTAAAAGATTTGATAGAGTGTCCCAACATCGGGTTGCTCTACCGGGCGTAGATGTCTTTGCTCCTAAAGGTTTTATGCCTTTCGACTCAACAAAAGCCACTCTTGATCGGATTGTGGAGGCATTAAAAGATGATAAGACTAATGTGGTTGGATTGTAAGGGAAGGGAGGGGTGGGTAAAACGACCTTGGCAAAAGTACTGGCTAAAAGGGTCAAAGAAGAAACAATTTTTGATAAGGTTGTGATGGCTGTTGTATCCCAGACTCCTAACACAAAAATTATTCAAGGTCAGATAGCAGACTCGTTAAATTTTAAATTTGAGGAGGAAACTGAGCAAGGAAGAGCAGGCCGATTGTATTTGAGATTAAAGAAAGAGAAGAGGATACTCATAATCTTGGATGATGTTTGGGCAGAACTTGACTTGACAACAGTAGGAATTCCCTTTGGAGATGATCAAAAGGGTTGCAAGATCTTTCTAACCACTCGTCGACTACAAGTTTGTCATGCAATGAGGTGTCAACATCAATTTCAACTAGATGCTCTAAATGAAAAAGAAGGGTTGAGCTTACTTAAAAGTCATGCAGGTATAAGTGATGAGTCTCCCACCTTGAATGATATGGCAATTAAAGTTGCTGGAGAATGCAAGGGTTTGCCTTTAGCAATTGTATCAGTTGGGAGTGCTCTAAGACAAAAAACTATCAGTGAATGGAAAGAAGCACTTCGAAAGCTAAAAATGTCAAAACTTAATGTTATAGAGAATGTGGATAGAGATGTTTATGCTTGTCTTCAATTCAGTTATGATTATTTGAAGAGCCAGGAGATCAAGTCTTATTTCTTATTGTGTTCGCTGTTTCCTGAAGACCATGAAATTGATTTAGAGGAATTGGTAAGATATGGAATGGGCTTAGGTTTGAATCTAGATGCTGACTCGATTGAAGACTCAAGGGACCAACTGTGTGCAATGGTTGATAACCTCAAAGCTTCTTGTTTGTTATTAGATGCTGGTGAAAAAGATTTTATTAAAATGCATGATGTGGTTCGTGATTTTGCCTTATGGATGGCATCCAAGCAGAACCACGCATTCTTGGTTAATGCTGGCATAAGCGAGTTGCAAAAGGTAGAGAGCCAGGAACAATACATGGCAATCAATTTGGTAGAATGGGAAAGGGGAATAATGCTTCCTGATGGTTTGATGTATCCAAATCTCCAAATTTTGATTTTGGATGCATATAGATATGGTTTGACTTTGAGCAAAGCTTCAGATGCATTTTTTGAAGGGATGAAAGCACTGAAAGTTCTTACTCTAACTCAAGTGCAGTTGTCAATGAAATCACTTCAATTCCTCACTAACCTTCGAACTCTGCATCTGAAATATTGCGAACTGGAAGGCATATCTTCCCTTGGCATGCTGAAAAGGCTTGAGATTCTTAGTTTAGAAGGTTCTGTATTTGATGAATTACCAGAAGAACTAGGGGAACTTAGTCAGTTAAGATTGTTGGATTTGTTTAACTGTTTTACGTTGAAAAGGATTCCCCCTAATGTGTTGCAGAGGTTATCTCATCTTGAAGAATTATACATAGGTAGCAGCAGTTATAGCTCATGGGCGGGTGAAAGGATGGATGCAGAAACAAGCAATGTCAGCTTGTCTGAGTTGAATTCACTACGCCGATTGACCCATCTATTACTGCACATACATGATGAATGCCTCCCAAAAGACTTTGCTTTCTCTTCCACATTGCAAAGTTATGAAATAAAAGTGAATGAATTTTCTGAATATCCATTGTGGCTTGGAAGAACAACAATTGCAAAAAGGAAATTTTCCAAGTCAAGAATCTTGAACATCAGGAGTGGAAAATTCACCACATTTGCTGCATTCAAAGCATTGTATCCGACTTTGGAACATTTTAATTCGAGCTATAGTGAATTCTCTGAAAATATTGTGCCAACCATTGATCCAAAGGGCTTGAATGAGTTGAAGTCTCTTCAGCTTGAATATTGTGAGGAGTTGAAATGCATCGTAGATGCGTCACTGCAGCAAGTGCCAGCCACTGCCTTCTCTAATTTGGTGGAATTATCTCTTGATTATTTGCCAGGTTTGAGAGAAATATGCCATGATGGGAGGCCTCCGAAGGAGTTTCTAGAAAAATTGGAAAGTATATCTGTAACTGGATGTAAGGATATGTATACTTTATTTCCGACAATGTTGGTTCAAAGATTACATAAACTGAAAAAAGCAGATATAAACTACTGCTATAAGCTACAAGAAGTATTTGAACTTGAGGGGCTATGCCATAGTGGGGAAGAAAATCTTGTTTTGCTCTCAAATTTAGAAGAGTTAAAACTAAATAAATTACCTGAATTAAGGTGTATATGGAAGGGGCCTACCCAGTATTTGAGGCTCAAAAGTCTTAAAAAGTTTGAAGTGATTTATTGCCATAGCTTGACATATCTCTTCTCATCGTCCCTTGCTCAAAGTCTGGTACAATTAGAAGAAGTCATTGTCGATGGTTGTAAGAGATTGGAGCATTTCGTCTCATCATCAGAAGAAGATAACAAGGGGGAGGAAAATGTAGTTGCAGCAAATGGAAATGACATCCTTCTCCCTAAGCTAAGAAAATTAAGACTTCAATACCTACCAAACCTCATCAGCCTTTGCCCAAAAAATTATAAAACAACTTGGCCAACAACTTTAGAAGAGTTAGCACTGTGGGGATTTCGCAATTTCGCGCCGTCTTTCATTGTTGAACTTGAAGCCGTTATGAAGACTGCAATTGAGGTATGCTTTTATTTTAAGTTTATGTAAAAAATTTAACTTACTATTTGCATATGTGCATGCAATATTGTATAGTATATTATATAATACTATACAGAATATTATATGATGTTTGATAAAATATTGTATTGTATATATTTTTATACTATACTATTTTTGGTGTATAAACTATATTAGACACAAAATTAATTTTTTAAATAAAAAATTAATATATATTTTTAATTATAAAGAGTAATAAATAAATTTATGAGACTCTTTAAATAGGAATTTAAAAAAAAAAAAAAAACCAATACATAACATTTCTCTATAACAAATTAAATATTAAATAAAAAATAAATTTAATATTTACTAAGAAAATATTGCAAATCATGCTGCAATTTCTTAAAATAAAATGATAACAATATTTAAATTACTATCAGGTGCCTAATAAAAACATAAATTATCCAGTGTGTAATAATAGTGCAATTCAAATTAGAGCAAAAAGTTGGATGTTATGACTTATGAGAAGCTGGGCCTTTGTGGGCTACTTTTTCCTGTTTATTTTTAAATTAATATTTTGCAACCTTAACTGGATTAAAAACCAAGTTTCATGGTTTCAAAGTTTTGATTTAATTAGTCAATTAAGTTTCATAATTTTTCACTAAGTTTCAATTAATAATAAATATTTTAACGATAGTTCAATCACTTGACTTGGACAATTGCTGTAAGCATAAAAGATAGCTATTATTACACATATAATGTTGCCATCGCATTTTATTGGTTATATCTTCTGTATCAACTCTAATCTATTTTACTAATGACTCAGTTTATTTATATTCCTCAGAAATTACGGATTCTCGAGTTGATTAATAGCAACCTACAGTTGTGTAACACAGTTCTTGGTTTGTTGAGATTTGGTCTGCCAAATTTGAAGATGCTTAGATTAAAATATCTAGCAGAACTAGAAAGTTTATTTAAGGGTCCCATTCATGTTTTAGGCCTGCAGAATCTTACCAACTTAGAGATACAGTGGTGCAATAGTTTGAAACATATCTTCTCACTCACCCTTGCTCAAAATCTGGTGCAATTGAAACATCTGAAGATTGGGAATTGTGAAGAATTGGAGCAAATCTTGGTTGTTGATGATGAAACCTTATTGAATAATAAGGATCATCTATTCTTTCCAAATCTCTTTCAAATAAAGGTGATTGAATGCCACAAATTGAAATGTGTCTTTCCTATCAATATAGGCCGACATCTTCAACAACTGCAAAAGATAAATGTTATAGGAGTGAATCAACTAGAAGAAGTATTTGGACATACAGATAGTGGTGACCTCACAAATGATAAAGAAATCATGTTACCTCAACTTCAAGAATTGTCACTCTTTTCTTTACCAAACCTCACCAACTTCTGCTCCGTGAGTTACCACTTCATATTTCCATCTCTTGAAAGTTTGTTAGTTCGGAGTTGTCCCAAGATCACTACAAGATTTTCCTACGCACAAAATAATCAATCCGTGCATGCCGAAGCAAAGGTACTTCCAATTCTTCACACCCTCAAGTCTATATATTGCATTATGTTGTTATAGTTAACAATATTCAAGAATTTACTAAGATACTAAACAATATTTCTCTGATTTTGCCATTAAAATGGACCAGAATTATTATTATATTCATGTTTGTTTCTTGTATTGAGAATAATAACATGATAAATTAACTTTAATATTGTCATTTGTGCAGGCATCCAAAACAAGCAAAGAAGATGGAAGTGCAGAATTCCCTACAGAGATCAACGTGGCTAGACGGAGTGGTTCTAAATTGAGTAATATATTACCGCCATACAAAGAACAATGATAAGGGAAGTGTCAAATAGTAGAAAGAAGAAAAAACAAAGGGTAACTCATAAACATTCTCATAATGTTTATTTGTTAACAAGGTAAATATAGCTGCATTTTAGCTTCTTTCTTTAAATCGTTCTTCTTGTAGCTTCAAGTGGTTCTTCAGCAACACTAGACCGCTGAGTCTTAGCTACAAAATACCATCATATCATAACATGGACCATATCTTTTTCAAACAATCAAACATATATTTTATATATCAGGAAGTGATTTTGTTGATTGAAATTTTTATCAATTTCCAGTTCATAATTATGTGGATTAAAATGCCAGGATTTGGACTAGGGAGTTCAGTTTGAGTGGGCATGTGGATTAAAGTGTCAGAATTCAGAAGATAAGGGCTTAGTTGATATTTAGCTAAGTAACAACAAAACACTGTCGTTTTGTATCTCTCTTAAAGTGGTCGAATATCTTCTCCGTATCCATTTCCTTCTCTTTACTGTTTGTTTTGCTACTGTTTTCATTTAAGTAGCAAACCCTCATTGTATAATTATTCATTCAATCAAATATAGAAATTGAAGCTTTAATTCCTTTTTAATTTTCTCTCAATTTACGATTTCCACTAATTCCAGTGAATCCAAAGACAAAAGGAACTGAAGAGAAATCCAACGTTTTCATATGAAAAATGCTATGGTTCTGATATCTCTTCACAATTTCACATGTCTTCATTGACTGAAGTGATGTCCTCTATTTCACTTGATTATGTTTCTGATACTCATTAATATTTTTTTCAAGGTCACATTCAAGCATGTCTTATGATAAAATTTGAAGTCTTAATTGACTTAAAATCATGATAACCGCATTATATTCTCTCAAGAGTTTTTTTAATTTATGTGCTAATTATGATTCTCCTTGCGCATTTTGTATGCATAGACATTCACGAGTAAATAAGAGTATATTACTTTTTTCTTGCTGACATCTTTTTTTATTTTTTCCTTCTAATTTATACTTCAACTCTATGAGAATTTAGCAACATTTTTGTTTTTTTTTTTAATTCACTAAATTTTTACATGGAGAGTTTGATATATCGGTTAGTGATTCTGTTGACCTTTTATATTTTCTAGAAGTTTTTGTTTTTTATGAGGAAACTGAGAAATTAATGCTGCTACTGAAAACACACCTTTCCTACAAATTCTTGTCAGTCAAGATGGACCATTTTCAAAGACAAATTTTGGAAATATAAATGACTTATGATCAAAAGTAGTTTTCTTGCTTTATATGAGATTGTATTAAAGTTAATAGACTTACCAGGGCTTTTATATCCTTTTATTGCCTCCTGTCAATGGCAATGAAATTAACAATAATAATTTAACAAAAAAAAAAAAACTTTTAATCATTTTAGAAACTAGATCAAACAAAGATCTAGCTGGCGCAGAGTACATGTCAAAACTGATAATTAGTTATGAATCTTCAAACTGTATACTCAGAGATGGTAGAAACCAATCCATCAATAAGAGAAAAACAAAAATTAATGGAACAACATACGTTAAATACACAAGACAGCTAAATTCTCAAAAGTCAGAACTGTAAAACATACTGAGCAATTTGCTCAGATGCCTCTCCCCGTGACTGGTGGTTGAAGAGCTACTTAATAGCCCAGAACGAGAAAGATCAAAGATTTATATGAATTTCTCCAATCAATTTCTTCATTCTGTAAAATCATGTCTTCAACTTGCCGAAAAAGCGAGGCCATGACCAGTAGCAGCATGGATGGCAGTGGTCACATCCCACTTGAAACCGCACAGCCTTCTACTAATTCATTTTCGCTGCTTATTTTGATAGAATGGCCATGCATCAACAGTCATGTTCTCAAACTCTGATTCATCAGTGTTGTATGGAAACATACACGAAACCAAATCAGAAATGACTGCTGTATTATCAACTAAAACCACTGGCATTCTCATGGTTATGTCTCTAGCTTTTTTTCCTTTGAACTCCTCTCTTTCCTTGAGCCACTTTCTTCATGCCTCTCCATCTCCCCTGATTCTTTAACCTTCTTCTTTCTAGACTTCTCTTTAGAACAAGCTCACCGCTTCTTTCCAGAAGACTGTGCACTATCTTCTCCACGCGGAAAGGATTCTTCTTCGTGATCTGACTGCCAATTGCACAAAATCTCTTGTTGCTGATCCACATATTGTGTCTGTAATGGCTCCCCATCTCCAGGAAGCAAGTTGTTAAAAGTCATCTCACCATTAGATCCTCCTTTACGCTCCAGCAAGACCGGATCAGGTCTAATTATGGTACCAAGAATGCTCCTGTTGGGCCTTAGGCCAAAGATAGTCTTCGGATTTGTCAAGGTCGTGAATGCCATTAAAAAAGCTGATTTAATCTGCAAAAGAGGAGAAATGTTTAATTCCAAGTAAAATTTCTGATATACCAAGAGATAAAATGTAGTTTTTTGTTTTCATTTTTCCCTACTGAAATAAAGGGGTAAGATCAACCTAGCCAATAAACCTCACTAAGTATTTTCTTCTTTCTCAACCTAATAAAAACCTCTTGTAGGAGGTCCCCTACAAGACCAGGATGTAGTAGATAAGCGAATATAAGCATTTTTTTTTTTTGTAAAGTGAGAACGTAAACTCTTTGTTGTGTAAAAAATCTTTCATTAGTTCCCATGTTAAACAAATGATTGATTTCATGGTCACTGCAGAACAAGAAACGGAAGTAAATAACTAAATTGTTGAACAAATCTGGAAGTAATTGAAAGAGATCTTCAATTATAAGAAAGAAGTGTACCTATTTTTTAAGTCAAATAATTTTACTCTGAAACATTGAGGTTCAATCTTTACGATTAGAACTATAACATGGACCATATCTTCAAGTTTAAAGCAGAGAAATACGATGCCACAACAGGAGGCTTTCGTGGAAAGTATATAAAAGTTGTATTTTCCTTTTTCAAAAAATCAAACGTTTACTCTTTGAACTCTTCTCTTTCTTTGAGCCGTTTTCTTCATACCTCTTCACTTCCTCTGATTCGTTAACCTTCTTCTTTTTAGACTTCTCTTTGGAAGAAGTTGTCCGCTTGTTTCCAGAATATCTAAAGTTTGTATCTTAAATAAATTGCATTTAATATATCAACGTCATATAAGCAATGATATAATGCATTTGATAACATAAGAATCTAAATTTAGTGTTATTTTATTAGTGAAGCATGGTTGATTCCTAATACTTTTGATATTTTTTATGGAGTTGATAACATCTCTTGAATTATGAAATAATAAAAAATCTCATAAAATTTCTGAAATAATGAAAATATTTATTAACTTATACTCTTATAAGTTAATAAACATTTATCGAATTACTATTTATTTTAACAATAAAAGCTTAATCAATAAAAAGATTTATATTATTTCCTGTAAAACATACTGAGCAATTTGCTCAGATGCCTCTCCCCGTGACTGGTGGTTGAAGAGCAACATAAAAGCCCAGAACGAGAAAGATCAAAGATTTATATGAATTTCTCCAATCAATTTCTTCATTCTATAAAATCATGTCTTCAACTTGCCGAAAAAGCGAGGCCATGACCAGTAGCAGCATGGATGGCAGTGGTCACATCCCACTTGAAACCACACAGCCTTCTTCTCATTCATTTTCGCTGCATATCTTGATGGAATGACCATGCATCAACAATCACGTTCTCAAACTCTGATTCATGAGTGTTGTATGGAAACATACACGAAACCAAATCAGAAATGATTGCTGTATTATCAGCTAAAACCATTGGCATTCTCACGGTTATGTCTCTAGCTTTTTTTCTTTGAACTCCTCTCTTTCCTTGAGCCACTTTCTTCATGCCTCTCCATCTCCCCTGATTCTTTAACCTTCTTCTTTCTAGATTTCTCTTTAGAACAAGCTCACCGCTTCTTTCCAGAAGACTGTGCACTATCTTCTCCACGCGGAAAGGATTCTTCTTCGTGATCTGACTGCCGATTGCACAAAATCTCTTGTTGCTGATCCACATATTGTGTCTGTAATGGCTCCCCATCTCCAGGAAGCAAGTTGTTAAAAGTCATCTCACCATTAGATCCTCCTTTACGCTCCAGCAAGACCGGATCAGGTCTAATTATGGTAACAAGAATGCTCCTGTTGGGCCTTAGGCCAAAGATAGTCTTCGGATTTGTCAAGGTCGTGAATGCCATTAAAAAAGCTGATTTAATCTGCAAAAGAGGAGAAATGTTTAATTCCAAGTAAAATTTCTGATATACCAAGAGATAAAATGTAGTTTTTTGTTTTCATTTTTCCCTACTGAAATAAAGGGGTAAGATCAGCCTAGCCAATAAACCTCACTAAGTATTTTCTTCTTTCTCAACCTAATAAAAACCTCTTGTAGGAGGTCCCCTACAAGACCAGGATGTAGTAGATAAGCGAATATAAGCATTTTTTTTTTTTGTAAAGTGAGAACGTAAACTCTTTGTTGTGTAAAAAATCTTTCATTAGTTCCCATGTTAAACAAATGATTGATTTCATGGTCACTGCAGAACAAGAAACGGAAGTAAATAACTAAATTGTTGAACAAATCTGGAAGTAATTGAAAGAGATCTTCAATTATAAGAAAGAAGTGTACCTATTTTTTAAGTCAAATAATTTTACTCTGAAACATTGAGGTTCAATCTCTACGATTAGAACTATAACATGGACCATATCTTCAAGTTTAAAGCAGAGAACTACGATGCCACAACAGGAGGCTTTCGTGGAAAGTATATAAAAGTTGTATTTTCCTTTTTCAAAAAATCAAACATTTATTTTATATATCAGCAAGTGATTTAGTTGATCGACTTTCAAATCAATTTCCAGTTCCTAATTCCACTAATCCAAAGACGAAAGGAGCTTAAGAGAAATCCAACGTTTTGATATGAAGAAGGCTATGATTCTGATATCTCTTCACAGTTTCATGTGTTTTATAGACTGAAGTGTTGTCCTACATTTTCACTTGTTATTTATTTATGTGTTAATTCTTGT